GAGTCCTCTAGGGCTCAACCATTTTCTTCTTTCTATGCCCATGTCCTTAATGATCATGGATGTATTTGTCATTGTATTTGTCATCTATACTCCAAGAAGTCCTAAACTTACATTTCTAGCCCAAATTTCTCTCTCTTGAACTCCAGATCCATATAACTACTACCCATTTAACACTTTCATTTAGATGTCTAATTGATATCCCACATATAAAATGTTCAAAGTGAACTCCTGAACTTCAAATCACTTTCATCTCAAGCTTGCTTCAGACTTTTCTACATGTCAGTTCACGGCAACTTTACATCTTTCCAGTTGCCTAGGCCAAAATCCTTGGGAATCACCCTCAATCTTTCACTTTTTTTTTAATCTCAGAGACGACTTTCAAACTCTCAGCAAATGCTTCTAAAAACAAATCAACTAATTCTCACCATCTCCAATGCTACCAACTCTGATCCATACCACCATCATTTTTGACCCAAAATACTGCGACAGCTTTTTAACAGGCCTCCTTGTTTTCTTCTTTTCTCTACAAAGTTTATTTGCAACACAGCAGCCAAAATAATTCATTTAAAAATGATCTCATTGCTCTGATCAAAATCCTGAAGTCTCCCCATTTTATTCAGATGAAAGACAAAGACCATACAAAAAATCTGGTGATGTTTCTCTTTATTACTTCTCTAACTTCCTGTCTTAATTTTTATTCCCCTTCATTCACTTTCCTCCAGATTTCTCACATTCCTTGAACATACTCTATTTGTCTTTGCTTATTGGCCTTTGTACTAGCTGTTCCTACTTACAAAGGACACTTTGCAGGTACCCACATAGGAAACTCCTTCACTTTACAATTCATTGCTCAAAACTCAATTTCTCATTAAGTTCTACTCTGCCTTTGTTTTTAAAAATGTAAGCACCTTCCACTTTCAATACTTTCTCTCTCCCCTCCCCTCCATTCCCCAACAGGGTCTTGCTATATAGCACAGGCTGGTCCCAAATCCATGATCCTCCTGCCTCACTCTCCTGAGTGCTAGAATTACAAGTGTGTACCACCATCTGCAGCTCTTAATCTCCTCCAAGAGCTGGTTTTTTTTTTTGAAAAGCTATCATCTTCTAACACATCACACAGTATACATACTTATGTTTATTATGATCTGTAGCCCTTTGCTAGAAAAATGCTTAATACATAATTTTCTGATATGCCTTATGAAAACAAGTAGAATCTACCATGTGTTCCTCTAAGCTACAAAGTTAACTCAAAGTCTGGAGAACTTCTTTAGTTCAACAGATACTCTAAACTCCAAGAAACTGATGGCAGCAGCTATGGACAGCTATAGATAACTACAGTCTCAACTGTCAAAAAATATGCCCTAGTATCTTAGACTTTTTTAATGTTTAGTGCCCAAGGTAAGATCTTACAATAGTATTAAGTAAATGATCATCCTGGGGTATTGACAACTGGAAGTTTATCCTTCTTTAAAATTCTACATAATGACAAGATCATTTTCCTTAATTAGAATACTTTTTAGAGTAAAATTTTAGCTAGTAAGTATCCTTTTTTCATGTATTACTCAGCCAACACTGAAGATGGATCAATTTAGGTACTGGATCTGAGAGTTCTATATAAAGTAAGGATCCCTGAAGAGTTACACCCTCAATCAAATAGTGAGGTGTTTAAAATCTGCTCTGTAGAAAAAGAAATTGTCTGTTTCAGCCTTGGCTCAGTACTGAAGAAAAGTGTGTTCCCCCAGGGATTTTTTGGCCATGAATCAGACATCATACCTCTTTGTGGCATGGATTCAGCCAACATACAAAATTAACAAATACCACATTCCAAGTTTTAATTTAAGTTGGAACAGAATTTCTAGGGCCCTAGAAGCACTACTCTCAGATGCAGTGGTGGGCAAAGTAAGGTCCAAGGTCTAAACCTGGACCACCACTTGTTTTTATAAATAATGCCTTACTGGAACACAGTCATGCCTATTTGCTTACTGTCTGAAGCTTCTTCATTCTACAACAGCAGAGCTGATTAGTTGTGACAGAGATCTTATGACCCACAAAGCTAGCTGGTCTTTAATACCCCTAGCATAAATGATGTCACTTATATTTGAAAGCAAAACTAAAAAGTAGTAAATTAGAGGTTAAACAAAGAGTAAAACTATTGGTTAACTTTAGGCTTAGTTAAGAATACACTTTTAGAACTTCAAAAGTCAAAAAGAAATAAAACCTCAAAAATCAAAACCTACATTTCAGGTATAAGCATGGTCATACTTTAGTTCTGAATCTCCCCATTCTCCTCAGAGAAGGCATATAAAGCAAAAGGAAACCACTGGGGAAGTAGGTAGAGTAAAAGAAAAAGAAAAATCATAGTTCCAGAAAAACTAGGAAGATAGAAAAAAGCCTCATGAACTCTTGCTTGTATGTAAATGTGCAAAATACAAGTGAAATCTAAGTGTCACCTAGAGGAAGTCACACTGTAGAAATGAAGATGAGAAACAACGGGTGTGGAAGAAGCTAATGGTGGCAGACCTCAAAATTACCACATTCATTCCCTCAAAAAAAGTGGGGTAGCAAAACATGAGACGAGATATAGTTAAAAACAAACAGCAAAAGAAAACTTTAAAAATAGGAACATGTATAAAAATAGACAAAAAAAATATGGCAATCACAAAGCAAAATCTCCTATGTACACGAGATAAATTTTCAACACAGTGATTCTGAAACATTAAATAGCAACAATAATAATAAAGGGAGAAGCAAAGGTAAGTCAGGGAAAGAATGACAGAAAAGGAGGGTGCATAATGTTAATAACAGATGAACTAGAATTCAGATCAAAACTTAAGCAAATCACTTTGTAACATTAAAGGAGACAATTCACAATGACATATAACAGTAACTAATATCCACAATAGTAATTACCATAATGCATAAATTTTAGAATATACAAGGAGAAATAAGCAGAAACCAACTAACATTTCAAAACTTTAATAAACTTTAAAAGATAAATCTCAAAATATAAAACAAGGTACTAGAAGGCTTAATTAATATATTCAATAAAGCAACATGTATTACTTATATAAATATATTAAAGCACATGGTATTATAGAATTTACATTCTTTATAAGTGCTTATGGAATACTTGTGAAAATTGGGAAAAAAAGAAAACCTCAGAAGTTACCAAAAAAAAATAATAATAATACCTAAAACATTCCTTGAACACTATTATAAAACCAAAAATTAACAACAAAATTAGAAAGCAAAATAGCCCATTACACAAACTTAACTCCTGCTTAAACTGCTGAGCCCATGTGAAAAATGAGAATAACTCAACCATGTTTGCTTCAATGTTATCACGAGTTACAATAATGTATATAAACAAGCTTATTTAATCCAGCCTTGCTTATTAACCATTACATTCCAACATGCTCCCTTCAGTATAAGTTCTCTCTTGATTATTCTTATTTTCTAATAAAAGTGATGATAGAGAAGGAATTGCTGGATATTTGGGAAAAGAAAAAGATGTCTGAAATAGTTAGAAGCAGAGTGGGAGAGGGAACAAGCTAGACTGACACAAGTTCCAGGTCCAAAAAAAAAAAAGAGTTCCAGGCACCATTTAGTACCAGCTTGAAGACTGGGTGCTCACGGACAGAAAGCCAGGTTAGAAGCATGTGTAAGAGAATAAAAGATGTAGGGAAAGCAACTAAATACTGAAGAAGTGGAAGAACCATCAGAATGTGGGTACTATAAAGAGTAATCTAGAAAGATCAGTGGTACAAGATATATGGAATAGAGATTATAGGATTCATTGCAGGTAGTGGAATGATAATGTCAAGAGTATGGCAACGGGAGAGAGTAAGTTTGATTGAAAGCAAGACCTTTGGTAGAGAGATCAAGAAATCAATAGTCAAGATCTTTGAAGAAGTATTTATATGAATATTTAAATCATAAAAATGCCTGACTGATAAATGCTAGGTAGAGTGACAGTGAACTAGAAACTAAATTCTTCAAGAAATAAAACACAGTGATCAAGGAATAAAAGATAAGTGCAAAAACACAAGGTAGTAAGTTAGACATCTGACAACATAAGATTCAAAGTCAGGTGATTTAAAGGAGAAGGGTTTGAAAATAGATGGAAATGGCAATAAAAAGTAAGGAAACATATTCCACCCTCAACCCAACTGTACAGAGGACATGGAAACAAAACAGCATCACTTGAAAGGACTGCAGGGGAGACAGTAAAGAGGAATTTTTCTCTGAGCTCGCATGCATTCCTTATTGTTGGTAATGGTGATCTGTAAGTGAATTTTTTCTCTAAGACTGCACAAGGCTTCCACATAGTTATCTATAGTTGTATACACAAGAGCCAAGAACTGTTGCTCATTATACTGACTAGAGCCAGAAATGCAGTATGTTCTTGCATCTAAATAGCAATAGGGGTGAACAAATTAAAAACACAAAGAGGCTGCTACTTCAACCAAAAAGTTGTCATAAAGAATGCAAAAAGTAAAATACCATGAAAACAAAACAGAGTAAGAGCATATCCCAGTCACCTTCACACATCACATAATAACCTCTTTTAGAAGCTAACAGAAGATCCTTGGGAGGCTTACTTTAAAGGAATACTGTATACATAAAGATATAGCAATAAGATTAGAAATAGAATTCTGAAAAATAAGAAATTCTGAAATCATGAAATTCTTGGTAAAGAGATTAAATCAGTTTCAACTCTTGGTTCATAAGAAAATTCCAAGGAAACAGCACCATCTATTGGAATTTCTCATATTTGAAAATATTTTCAGATCTTTGAAAATGAGAATAGTATGAAACATTTCCCCTCATTTGACTAAGAGGATAAACTTAAATCTTAAAGGACAAAATAAACCACTAATTCTTGCCTTATAATTCCAATCTCAAAATAACTCACCATTTTGACTAAATTCATCTGAAGATTTTTATTAAACTAAAATATTCTCAGCCAACAAAGAAATTACATTTTTAAAGAAACTCACAGATGTGGTATTCTTGTATGCTGCTTGTGTAACCATATATTGCAGAATATCCAAATATTATGATCATGACAACATCTCTACTATCCAGCTCCATAATGTGTGCTGAATGTCCCTCCACAGCGTACTGCTGACCATGTCCAAGAACAGTAGGAGTCTTTGTGCTCCATGACTGACTATGTGTGTTAAAAACCCATAATTCATCTGTGACATTGCCATCATTTGTTTCAATTCTGCCTCCATACATAAAGATGTTTTCCTGTAAATTAAAATACATATGTTAAGGAACAAGATAGTAATTTCTTACCAATAAACATTAATTAAAAATAAAGGCTATATTTAAACACCCATGCTAGTAAACTGCCCATAACACTTTTAAGGGATAGTTCTTATTTGTAAAAAGTCAAGTGGAACACACCAATAATAACTAATGTTTTTATATACAAAGGGGGGAAAATATCTCTGCTTCCAAAGTTACTTTAATGTATTTTACTTGAAATGGTTACATTATTTAGTCAAACAGTCATATTTTAAATTATCCTATAGGACAATAATCCTGACATAACATTGTGAGAATGGAAAAGGCAGTGAGCTGATCAGAAACTTAAAATTTAACAGTGCAGTAGTTATATAACTAAGAACAATATACACCCCACACACAATAGAAAATAAGAGACTAAGTTGCTGATTAAACATACTCATTTCCAATATTTGAATGATGAGTCCTCAGTTATTACATTTGAATTTTACCATCTACGTAAATTGTGTTGTTATTCTCAACTATTCACTGTTTTCATCAAGCATTATTCACCAAAAATGTAAATCATATTTGTACACAGGTGGAGTACATTTTTATCACCATTTCTCATGGCTATATTACATACCTTTAGTCCACCTTTGGTTAATCGCTACAGAACTTGTAAATTTTACAAACAATTTCACTCACATATGATTGGAATAAATGATACAGAAATGATATAAACCATCAATATTTCAACAACCTAGGAAGAGAAGGGAACTACTTCAACCTGATAAAGGGCATCTAAGGAAAACACACTGCTAAAAAAAATAAATAAATAAAATTAAACTTAATGGTATAATACTAGATGCTGCCCCTAAGTGCAGAAGACGTCCTTTTGCACTTCTATTCAACATTGCACAGGATGGTCTAGTTAGGGTAAACAGGTAGAAACTAATAAAGGCATCCAGATTGGAAATGGACTGGAGGAAGTAAAAGTGCTGGCTATCAATACAGATGACATGATCCTATATATTAAAATCCGAATTAAAAGAGCTAATGAATGAGTTCAGCTATATTGCATAATATATTTCTATATATTTGCAACAAACAATTCAAAAGTGAAATTAGTAAAATAATTCCATTGACAACAGTGTCAAAAGAAAAAAATACTTAGAAAAATATTTAAGAAAAGATCAAAACTTTACTCTGAAAGTTACAAAACATTGTCAAAAGAATTTTTTTTTGCAGTACTGTGGCTTGAACTCAGAGTCTATACCTTAAGCCACTCCACCAGACCTTGTTTTGTGTGTGTGTGTGTGTGTGTGTGTGTGTGTGTGTGTGTGTGAAGGGTTTTTCGAGATACAGTCTCACAGACTATTTGTCCAGGCTGGCTTCAAACTGCTATCCTCCTGATCTCTCCCTCCTGAGTAGCTAAGACTACAAAGTGACAGAGTGAACCACTAACACCTGGCCATTGTTGAAAGAAATTTTAAAAGATCTACATAAATGGAAGAATATTCCATATTGAGTCATAAGACTCAACATTAAGATAGTATTACTCTCCAAATCAATCTGTAGATTCAACACAATCCCTATTAGAATACCACCTAGCTTCTTTGTGGAAATTGACAAATTATTCTAAACTTCGTATGAAACTGAAAGAGATGCAGAACATTAGAACAATCTTATAAAAGAAGAAAAACACTGGAGGACTCACACTCTTGAAAACTTTCTACAAAGCAAAAGTAACCAAAATAGTATGGTATTGCCATATAGCAACAAAACAGAATGAAGAGTCCAGAAATAAGTGGATACATCTGTGGCCACCTGATTCTTGACAAGAGCATCCAGACTACTCAATGGGGGAAGCATACACTCCTCCCTAAATGAAAAGTGGGTATCAATATGCAAAGCAATGAAGTTGAACCCTTACTACAACAGCATACACAAAACTTAATTCAAAATGGATGAACCAACTAAATATAAGAGTCAAAACTATAAAACCTTCCAAAGGAAAATCAAATCAAAGGTAAATCTTTATGACCTGGGATTTAGCAGTGCATTCTTAGATTTAACAACAAAATCACAATCAACAATAACAAAAAAGTAAATTGGACTTCATCAAAAAAAAAAAAAAACATTTTCACTTCAAAAGATATTGAGGCCAATAGGAAAAGGGGACCAGGAACTAGAGAAAAGGTTAGATCAAAAAGAATTAACCTAGAAGGTAACACCCACGCACAGGAAATCAATGTGAGTCAATGCCCTGTATAGCTATCCTTATCTCAACCAGCAAAACCCCTTGTTCCTTCCTATTATTGCTTATACTCTCTCTACAACAAAATTAGAGATAAGGGCAAAATAATTTCTGCTGGGTATTGAGGGGGGGAGCGGGAGGGGGTGGAGTGGGTGGTAAGGGAGGGGGTGGGGGCAGGGGGGAGAAATGAACCAAGCCTTGTATGCACATATGAATAATAAAAGAAAAATGAAAAAAAAAAAAAAAAAAAAAGAAAGTGAAAACAGACCACAGAATGGGAGAAAATATTTGCAAATCAGATATATGATAAGGGACTTGCATCCAGACTATATAAAGAACTCTTACAACTCAAAATAACAAATGACCTAATTTTAAAATAGTCAAGGAACTTGAATATTTCTCCAAAAACAATATACAAATAGCCACATAAAATGATGCTCAATATCATGACTCAAACAAAGAAATACAAATCAAAACCACCATGAGATACCACTTTACACCACTAGGAGGCTTTAATCGAAAAGACCTAATAAAAAATGTTGGCAAGGATGTATAAAAATGGGTACCTTCATACATGACTGGTGGTAATGTAAAATGGTACAGTCACTTTAAAGATTCTGATAGATCTTCAAAAAAATTAAACATGATGTTAACATTTGGTGTAGGCATTCTACTTCTATACTATATGTATAATGCAAAGAAATGAAAACATATGTCCAACACAAAAACTTACACCCAAATATTCACGGCACCATTATTCTTAACAGCCAAAAGGTGGAAATGGCCCAAATGTCCAACAACTGATGAATTAATAAGCAAAAATATGGCATACTCATTCAATGTAATATTGTTCAGCCACGAAAAAGAATGAAGTACTGATATATGCTACACAGATAAACCTTGAAAATATTATGCTAAATCAAATATTCCAATCATAAGTCCAACAGTATATGATTTCATTCACATAAAATGTCCAGAACAGATAAATTTATAGAGACAGAAAACAGATCTGTGACTTCTAAGACTGATGAAGAAGTTTGGGGAGATAATTAAAGGACAAATATTGCTTTGTTTTGGGCAGTACTGGTGTTTGAACTCAAGCTTGCTAGGCATGCACTCTACCACTTGAGCCACTCAAGTTGGGTATTTTCAAGATAGGGTCTGGCAAACTATTTGCCTGGACTGGCCTTGAACTGCCATCCTCCTGATCTCTGCCTCTTGAGTACCTAAGATGGCAGGCGTAAGCCACCAGTGCCCAGCCACAGTATTGTCTTTTGATGTGATGAAAATGTTCTAAAGTTGATTACAGAACCCTGCTGAGCTTTATACAAATCTGCAAGAGATAACTGCACAACTCTGAATACACAAAAACCACTGAATAGTACAATTAAATGAATGAGTTGTATGTTATATCAATTATATTACAAAAAGGAAAAAATGCAAAAAAACATGAGACAATATTAAAAAGGCAAAGAAATATATATATGTATAAAATGTATTTTGTGTATGTAAACATACACATAAAAAACAATTACACTTTATGTTTAATACACATGCAAAAGAATGGCAGTTTATTCTTTGTACTATTTCTGTATTTTCCAAAATTTCTGCATAAACAGAAAAAACATGTAAATCCTGATTTGAAATGCATAACCATAGACCACAAAATACATGGATCTTTGCTGATCAATATAAAAACCTGTGAGTGGCTTGTCATTTTAGTCATGCTAAATTCATGAATCCCACAAACACATAAAAGTAACTGATTCTATTTCTAAATCCCAATAATATTTTTAGCAAAAATAGACAAAACTTTATCTTAAAATTCATATAAAATTTTAAGGGCTCTTGAATAGCCAAAACAATCTTAGTAAAACAAAAACAAAGAAGTCTCACACTTCCTAACTTCAGAACTTATTACAAAGCTAGAGTGAACTAAATAGTGTGGTAGAACAAAGACAAACATATAGATCAATAGAACAAACAGCCCAGAAATATGCCAAGATCATTCAATGAGAAAGAACAGTTTTTTCAACAAATGATGCTGAGAAAACTGCCTGCACACATACAGAGTAATAAAATCAAGCCCTTACCTTATACCACACACAAAAATTAGCTCAAAATGAAATAAAGACATAAACATAAGAGCTAAAATTTTTAAACTCTTAGAAGAAAAACAGAGAAACCACGAGGGCCCCCCGGCCGCCAGTCGCCTGAGCCCAGACGGCTTGGGAAGACTCCGACAAGGTGAGCTTAGCAGTACAGCGGTACTCCCACAGACAAGCCTGGGCCAGATCAGCATAGCCCCCTGGACAGAGTGACCCCCAACCCGGGGAAAAAAGAGAAACTGATTAATAAGCAATAAGAATAATTAAGACACGTGGGAAAGAGGGTGGGGTGCACTGAGCGCTGAAGATTGGGAGAAGGGAATCCTTCCCGGAACTGTAAATAAACAAGCCGGGTGGGCCAGACAGGCTCCGGTGGGAGCCGGGTTTGCGCCCGCAACCAGGAGCGAGAAAGCTTGTGAGAGTGGCGGAGGGAGGAAAAGTCCACAGGAGAGGAGGGAAGACCCACTTCCCACGTGAACTGTAAATAAACATGCAGGCCTGACAACGCGGGGGCAGTGTCACCTTTCCCAGTGCTTGGAAAGGGGAAAGCCTGTAGCAGAGGCTCCCGCACAGGAGAACTCTGAGCAAACAAAGCCTGTGGGACCAGGTGAGTGCTAAGCTCACCCCAGAGATCTGCATAAATAACGCCGCCAGCTACAGGCTGAGAGCAGCAGGCAGGCAAGCCACAGTTGCAGATACCACTCTCAGAACTGTCTCCAGACGCTTTTTTTTCTTTTTCTCCCTACCTTTGATGAGAGAACAACCGAATTACACCTGCAAGCCAAAAAACTTACTGAAACTGTATTGCATTTGAACTTGGGACACTTTGTGGGGTTTTTTTTTTTTTTTGTGTGTGTGCAGTTTTGTTCTACTTTATGCGTCCCCTTTGATGAGACAACCACAGAACAACATCTGAGGCACCATCTCCAGGACTGGAGACTGAGACGGACAACCAAATTATTAAGACTGAAACTTCATTGCATTTGAACTTGGAGGTTTTTTGGTTTTTTTTTAATTTTCTATTTTTCATTTTATTTTATTTATATATATATATATATTTCTTTCATTATTTTTTATTTTTATTCTTATCTTTATTTTTTTATTTTCAATCCTCTCTCTGTCTCTCTAATGTCTGTTCAGCTTACTGTCAATTAGTACACTAAAGCTCCCTGTTTATACCTTTGAAACTTTCTTGTCTGATTCCTTGTTCTGTTTTCTCCCTCTTGTCTATTTGTTTTTCCCTTTTCTTTAACTTCTTGCTTTCCATCTCAGCTCACCTTCCATTCTAAATATTACCATTGTTATTATTACAAGCTAGAAAATACTTAATTACACAGTACAGGGACAGTAACAACACCAAAGACAATGACGGGAAGACAGAAAAAACAGGGAAACCAGTTTCCCCACAGCAAAAAATTAGTACAGAAACCAGAGGGGAATGAAGAGAACAGAAACTCAGATCCAGACTCCAACAAAATGAAGATAAACTATGCCAAAGGACCCAATGAAGCCCACAAGAATAATTTAAAAGAAGACATACTACAAGTACTCAATGAGAATTTTATAGAGATGATACTGGATAGGGTCAACCAAAATGTACAGGAGACACTCAAGAAATTCCAAGACAACAAAAATAGAGAATTTGAAAAAGCAAAAGAAGAAATAAAGGAAACCATAGAAGCACTGTAAAAACACCAAAGTGAAAGAGAGAACACATGAATAAAGATAAATGAACTCAGGACAAAAATAGACAACATAAAGAGGAAAACCAGGATATGGAAAACCTCAGAAAAAAGAACGAAAACAGAACTGCAAAACAAAACGGAAGGCCAATCCAGCAGAATAGAACAAACAGAAGACAGAATCTCAGAACTTGAAGATGAAATGGTAATTAAAGGAAAAACCAAAGAACTATTAATTAAACAACTCAAGACCTGTGAAAAGAAAATGCAAGAACTCACTCCACCAAAAGACCAAACTTGAGAATCATGGCATCGAATAAGGAGAAGAGGTGCAAGTGAAGGGAATGTGTAATCTATTCACAAAACAATAACAAAAAATTTCCCAAATCTAGAGAAAGATATCCCCATACAGATGCAAGAGGCCTCCAGTACACCAAACAGACCAAATCAAAATAGAACTACCCCACAACATATCATCATTAAAACAAGTTCAGAAACTAGGGAAAGAATATTGAAGGCTACAAGAGAGAAAAAACAAGTAACATACAAAGGTAAACCCATCAAAATCACAGCAGACTTCTCAACAGAAACATTAGAAGAAAAACATAGAGGAAAAGCTTCATGGTGCTGGATTTGGGAATAATTTCTTATCTATGACACTAAAACCACATGCAACAAAAGAAAAAAATAGGTAAACTGGACCACATCAAAACAAAAAACTTTGGGTTGGCTGAGAATACAGCCCACTGGCATAGCACATGCTTGGCATGCATAAGAACCTGGGTTCAATCCCCAACATTACAAAAAAAAAAAAAAAACTACATACTTTTGGGGGGGTTGTGTTTTCACTCAATAGAATGAAAGATAGATCACAGAGGAGAAAAGAAAATATTTACAAACCGTACATATGGTAAGGAGTTAGCATAATAATATATAAGCAACTCCTACAACTCAACAGTAAAAACAAACCAAGTCAAAATGGCAAAAGATATGAGTAGACATTTCTCTAAAGCAATTAAAACCTATACAACACCTCTAATCATTAGGTAAATGTAAGTCAAAATCTCAAAGAGATAACACTTTATACTCCTTAAAAGGTCTATTATCTGAAAAAACAACAGAAAATATTGTGTTAGCAGAGTTGTGGACAAATTTTAACCCATGCACACTGCTGACAGTATATAAAAAGGCACAGCCATTGAGGAAAACAGCATGGCAGTTATCAAAAACTTAAATATAGAATTTATCCTATTATCCACCAACTCAACTTCTGGAAATACATTGAAAGAACTGAAAGCAGACACTCAAACAGATAGTTGTACACACATGCTCAGAGAAATATTATTCACAATGGCCAAAAGGTGGAAGCAATCTAAGTGTCCATCTATAGACAGATGGGTTTTTTAATGTGCTATATACATATAGTGGAATATCACTGAATCTTAAAAAGGAAGAGAATTCTGGTGCATGCTACAAGTATGAACCCTGAAAACATTATGCAAAGGAAAACAAGCCAGTCACAAAAGGAAAAATATTGCATAATTCCACTTACAGTAGAAACCTAAAATAGTCAAATTCACAGAGACAGAAAACACAATTGGTAGTCTCTAGAAGTTGGGATAGTTTCTAAGAGTTTGGGGAAAGAGAGAATAAAGTAGTTACCTCTATTTTGCAACATGAAAAAAATTCTGAAGATAATGGGAGGTATGGTAACATAATGTACATAATATCATTGAACTCTACACTTAAATATAGTTCAAATAATAAATTTTATGTATGTGCATTTTATCACAATTCTTTTAAAGCGATTCATCTGCTGACTATAATAAAGCCATAGACAAAAACTCAATCATTTCTTTACATAATGGACAATTATACTAAAATCTGCTTTTGTTAAAATAGTAGATGAGTCTGTGATAACTCAAGTTATGTGATCTATATGAGCTACTGTTTTCATTAAATGTTTGAAATAAATTGGAGAGTATTTCTCCTGCTCTGGTAGAATCTTAAAAAAAAAATAATGATTAAAGTTTTAAAACTAGGAGATATACCTGATATAAAGCAAGAGAGTGTCCGTATCTCTGGAGAGGTCCCCTTGATGGCGCTCCTACATTCCATATACTGCTTTCTAAATCATAACTAAAGGAAAGAAAAGAAACATTCTTAAGCTAAGATTCATTTTCAGTTTTTTAGTTTTCATATGCTTTTCCTTACTTCTACCCAAATTTTCATTAAATTAAAAAGACCTATAACTAATAAACTCATAATTTCATGTACCATATTAGAAATGTTTTTATAAGAAACTCAGTCAAAAACAGCAACTCCAAATTAAGGATTATAGGACATTCATTACAAGAATTAATTTGTCTAATTGCCTTTAGTAATTTCAACAAAGTGATTAACCTAAAATAGTGAGCTCTTCTCCATTTTCAAATTAAAAATGAAAGTCAGCATTTCTTGGAAACACATGAAAATTCTCTCCATTTTTACAATAGTCATTTAAGTATTCATATTTATCCTTCACAAACACCTGGTTTAGAATTAATCAATTAACCAAGAAGCATATATTTTCTATGCTCAAATATAACAATCATTCTTTTTCAATTGTACAAAATAAATCCAGTAGTAGAAAGATTTCTATAAAGATAAGTTACTCTTGGATTATGGGTTACAAAAAGAAAATTAATGGGGTTTTTTGCTGCTGGTCCTGGTCTATTATCTATGAAAACAGAAGTTCTAAACTGTGGATTTCAAATGCTTAACAGAATTCCAATTTGGCTGTCATCATACTCTATAACAAATCTTAACTTAGCAAAACACACAAGAGAAAGCATCCATTCAAGAAATAAGGTACTGTTTTAAGAAGCTGATGGTCAGTTGCTATCTTCCCACTTCTCTTTCTTCAACTCATTAGGAAAGGCAACAAACTGTCCCTTCACAAAAAAAGTAAGGATTACCAAAGTGGTTTTCAGCATTGTTTACTTCCTAGCTTGGAGTTATAAGAAACATGTATGTTACAATGACTAAACACTGTGAGTGAGAACATAACTTCCACAGACTTACAACATCTACCTACCAGATAGCTGCAGCCAACACATTGCTTTCCACCAAGTCACCATTAATTAGGGCTAAGCAAACTAAGTTCTGTGAAGGGCTAGGCAATAAATACTTTAGGCCTTGCATGCCACACTGTTTCACAGAGTTTTCCTGTTTGTTTGTTTATTTGTTTGTTTTACAGCCCATTACAAAATACAAAACATTCTTAGCTCACAGGTTCTGGGCCCCAACTCTGCAGTCTGATGATCCCTGTGATAAATGAGCCATTCATGTTCCTTGAGCAGTCGGTCCCACAACACTCTAGCAGTTCTCCCATCTCCTTCCTACACCACCATTTTTTTTTTTTTTGGTCTGACAGATCACTGCTTCGGCATACAAACATGTTATTTTTCCCATTTATCAAAAAGAAGAAAAACTTTTCATGAACTCATTCTCCCTTCAAGCTACAACCACACTTTTTCACTTCCTCATTTCCTTATTGTTCTCACCCCCTCTCATCTTCCCACTCTCCCTTTAACTCTAGGATTTTAGCCCTGCCACTCCAATAAAACTGTTTTTGTTCATTTCAATTTCCTCCTAGTAATTCCATGGCCACTTTTCAGTCCTCTTTTCCTATGACTGGGCTAATCATCAGCATTTGACATCAGTCACTCCTTCATCCTTATATACTCTCTTCCCTTGCCTTTGGAGACACAGCACTCTCACTTTTCCTATCTCAAAGGACTTCTCAGTCCTTTGCTTCTCTCTCCTTTTCTCCCCAACCTCCTAGTGATGTGATACCTCAGGCTCAGTTCTGGTCTCATTGCCTTGATAATACCATTCTAACTCAATTCCTGTTTTTACTTTTCCTTCCAATCCCTACTTATTGTCAACCAAGTGACCACAGTGAGTCTTTTAAAGTATAAATCAAAGCATGCTCAAACCCTCCCATGACTCCCAAAAGATCTGTAACACCTACATGATCTGTCTCCCTCCTCCATTAACCCTCTAATGTCATGCTTCCCTTTCATATGTCCTTACTAATCACATAGCTCTCCTTGCTGCTACCAGAATACTTCAAAAAAAAAAAAAAACTCCTACCTGAAGGTTCTGGTCTGGCTCCTTTCAGTGCCTACAGATTGTTGCAATGCCAATGCCGTGACCTCCTTCAAATCTCTGCTCAGTTTTCAACTTTCTCATGAAGCCTACCCTTGACCACTGCATTTATAATTGTAACCCCCTCGCCAGAGTTTCCTCATTAATTTACCAAAGACAAGGACATTTATTATATCTACTGCTATATCTCAAGTATCCAAAGCACAAAAGTACAAAACACTTTGCTATGATCAGGAGTATGTATTAATTTTCCATTAATGTTAATGCATGGATATTATATAAAATAGTCTAATTTCATAGACACTAATATAGAACTTTTAATTAGTTACTGAATGATTTTGTCTTAAAATTAACATCTATACTCCAATTAAATTCTAGTCTAGGCCTAGGGATGTAGCTCAGTGGCAGGGTGCATGGCTAGCATGTTTAGGGCTCAGGGTTCAACCTCAGTACTGCAAAAACAAAAAAATGTACTCTAGAGGCTAAATCAAGTTTTGACTGACACTATCATTTCTAAAAGCTGTTTAAATATCTTTACCTACAATTGAACTACATTCAGAATGATTTTTCAAAACCTCTCTAACCTACGAAAACAGTAACAAATTTATTTCTAACTTGATACTTCATAGTTTACATAAACTTACAAATCTATATGCATATGTATACATACATTCTATATATTTGTGCTTCATATACATGCTTATACACACACACACACCTCTGTGGTTTCTATACGTATTCAAACACTGTTAACCAAAATACACTATTCAACTTGTACAAAACACAAACTTTTAAGATTTCCATATTTCCATGGCAATCTTGCTCTTTGTCTTCACAGCTCAACTTCAGAAATATCATAATTTGAATTCAAAGTTCAATTTCTATTTTCATAGGTTTTTCATTTTCTTTAGTCAAAGTTAATTTCCTTTTAGCTTCCACATTTTAAATTTCACTATTTTCCTCAGGTTCTTTTCCTATCTTAACAATACATTTTAATCCCACAAACTCTCATTCAATTATTTCTACCATACTTCATTCTTCATATATTATATTACAAAATTCTCATTTTTCATTTAAATATTTATCTAAAACTTTCACTTTCCCTCTCACCAGAATTTATTCTATTTTATAGTTTGGTTCCAGTTATATTCAATCAGAGTTTTAAATTTTTTTAAGTCTTCAAAATCAACAGAGCTAATATATCCAGGGGTAAGGTTGCAAGATAAAATACAGGACGTCCAGTTAACACTGAATTCAGATAAACAACAATTAATGACCCATGTAACATTTGGAATAAAATAAAATATAAACTGCAAGGCGCCTTATACTATAAAATTATTTGTTATTTATTTGAAATTCAAATGTAAGTCATTATACTGTATATTTATCTGCTAAAACTGACAATTTTATTGGGTATACACCGTTATGGTATACTGTCTAGAGCCAGTTTTGATTGGTTGATGAACGAGTTACATCAGCTATTACGTATAGTTATTACATGTTATGAATATCACCCCTGAAAACAACAGCGGCAATCAAATGATTCTTCCTGTTTCCTCTTTTATTCTGTTATTGAATGGTTTATAAAATAAAATCATCAGGTAAAAAAGAAGTCAGATAAAGCTACCATTCATGTGGTTCCTTTTATTACTCAACCATGCAGAGAACAATCTACTTTGAGCCAACAGTAAAATGATCTGTTTCTTAACACTAGCACCACTATCTCAATAAAAGCTTGTAAAATACATACTAGATAAACATTCAGGCAAATTAAAAGAAAAAATTGAAAGTATGCTTATATATGCAATTACACTTAGTTCTGAAAATTTAAAAGGTGAGAGAATTTATTATGCCTAACACAGACCTGTCCTACCTTCATATGAAGCTATTATTTTCTTACTCAGAATGCATTAAAAACACTCTAAAGAGATAATAAATTTCTATACAAAAGAAACCTATATGTACAACGACAAATAACTATGTCAAATTGAGTTGAATTAGCCCCAAATCAGTTCCATTTAACAAATAGATGATTATCATAAAAATAGACACATAATTTTGGACAAAAAGTCTTAGTTAAAAAAAAGAGATTGTAAAGATCTGAAAACACATACTTACTTCAGGACCATTTGAAAAGAACTGTAGTTAAAAGTATATCCACCAATCACCCACATAAATTTCCCATGTAAAACTGCTTTATGTGAAGCCCGACCTACAGAAGGACTGAAGGGTTTAACATTTGGCAAAATCCAGTAAGACTCAGTAGAAGGAACATTCAAAGAGCAATCAGGACCTATTAAGAAAAGCAAACAACACATTTCATTAAATAAAGACCTTAGGTTATAGAAACAAAGCATATGGATTAGGACAATTTAAGAATCCAATGTTCATAATAATAAATGCACAATACATAACAAAGAGTCTGAAATACAACTTGCTAGAAAACTATTAACCGAAAATGTAATGCATAGAGCAGATAATAATCATTGGATTTGAATATGTTCAAATAAATATAATAATCTAAAAAATTATTAAAATAATACAAAATTATAGATTTACTTTAGTATGCTAGTAGAATAGTAAGTGGAAAACAACAAACTCAAATTCCAATTCTATAACTTACTAGCATTGTGACCTTGAGCAAATCTGATTACCTTTCCCATCATCAAACATTCATCTATAAAATGGAAATAACAATCTACTCTCACAGGTTATTATATATTTTAATTTTTTAAAAAGGTGGAAATAAAGTATTTACAAAGTATTAAACAAATATGAAAATAAAGACCACATTTTTCTTAGCATCATTACCAAAAAGCAAGGCTTCAGTAAGGAACCTTACATATTCTCAGAGAAAAAAAATTACATGAATAATAAAATTAAAACTATCTAAAAACTTAAAAAGTTTTATAAAATAGAAATAATGACTAGTACATACTAATTTCAAATACTGTAAAATTGAAAACGGCCTGGGCACAATGGCTCAATTAGGAGAATCACAGTTTGAGGACAGCCCAGGCAAAAAAGTTAGTGAGACCCCCATCTCAATCAATAAGCAGGGCATAATGGCACGTGCCTGTGATCCCAGCAACTCAGGTGGCTGCAGGTAGGAGATTCATAGTCTGAGGCCAGCCCAGGCAAAAATGCAAGATCTTACCTGAAAAATAACTAAAGCAAAAATAGGCTGCAGGCATGGCTCAAGTGGTAGAGCATCTGCCTAACAAGTGCAAAGTCCTAAGTTCAAACTCCTGCACCACAAAAAGAAAACACAGCTTTATCTTATTGAGATTCATGGTATACATGAGTCTAGGTTTTCTCATCTATAAAACATAGATTACCCAAATTCAGCATTTTTGAAACTTAAATAATAGAAAGAATGCTCCTAAAATTATATTTTCTTTAAATGTGAAGATTCACAAATGTTAATTCTAATGAAATTAAAACACACGCATAGAGTAGATATAAACTCCTAATGCTTAAAGTTCTTTCATAAGTGTAAAACCAACATAACTTTATAAAATATGTATAAACAAACTTATAAAACTAAGAAAATTTACATTTCACTTCATTTTATTGTACTTCACAAATACTGCCCTTTTTCAAGCTGAAGGTCTATGGCAACCCTATAATCAAGCAAGTCTATTTCAGAGTAAGTTTTCCAAAGCTGTTTTCACTTTACGTCTGTGTGTCTCATTTTGGTAATACTCGCAGTATTTAAAACTTTTTCATGATTTTTATATCTGTTATGGTGATCTGTAAGCAATAATCTTTAACATTACTATTAAAATTGTTTGGGAGTGCCACAATCCACATCCATATAAGACAGAGTGTCACAAATGTATGTTTTGACTACTTTGCGAACTGGACATTTCTCCCATCTCTCTCCTCAGACCTTCCCTGAGATACTATAATATTGAAATTAAGCCAGTCAATAACCCTGCAATTCCTTGTAAGTATTCAAGTAAAAGGAAGAGTCCAACATATCTCTCTTTTGTGTGTGTGTATATGGCTCTGGGTTTTGAACTCAGGGCCTCACACTTGATAAGCAGGTGCTCCTATCACTTAAGCCATTCCACATTGTTAATAAAAGGCTAGAATGGTACTGGGGGCAAGATGGTGGAGTAGAAGCTTTCTCCATCTGACTCTATAGATGAGAAAAGTCAGGTAACAAAGGAGAGACTACACTCGGAAGAAAGAAAGACAGGAAGCACCCCAGGAACCACAAAAGAGACTAGACAACTGGAAAGCACAGAGAAACAAAAGGATGGCAGAGAAAATTAGGAAACAGCCTGCAGCTTCAGTCCCAGCTGGGAGACAGAGGAGGCAGGGCCTCACCACAAGGTAAGCTAGGTGGCCTTGGCAACAGACTAGCAGACCTAGCTGTGAGACAAGCCCACACTTTCCACATGCTTCCACAAGTCCTAAACCCAGTGTGGGGATATGGCAGAACACTGACTTCCCCAGGGTGATCGGATAAGAAAGACATTCTTTTGCTCCCCATGTATCAGAGAGTTATGATGCTGGCGGAACAGCTCAAGAGATAAGAGTGCCTGCCTAGCAAGTGTGAGGCTGTGAGTTCAAACTTCAGTGTTGACAGAGAGCTATGGTTAGGCACCATCTTGAGGGAGGGTCTACTGTTCAATACTGATTTATTCGGGTGACTAGAAAGCAGGGAACAATCATGACTCAAGGAGTCTTCAAACACCTTGTCCTAGTGGCTAGACTGGAGATGGCCACAAGAGGAGGTCATGGAGAAGAGGGCCTGACATGGGTGAGATGAGAAGTTTAGTAGCCAGAGCTCAGGAAAATGAAGGATGAAAGGTCTTCCCTCCTTAGCAAGAATAATTTCCATTGCTTGAAGATTACTGTGAAAACAAAGCACAGAGCCTGTGGCTGGCAGAGTGCTTCAGCTGGCTGCAGGGGGCTGCCAGGTGGGGTTTGAGACTGAGCTACTCTGGGGATTTGAAAACAAGGAACAACTGAAGTTCAGGGAAACAACCAGCCACTGTGTGGGAGAGATGGGCATGAAAGGTGATCATGGAGCAGTGGTCAACAGCCCCACCACTTCTCTCCAGAGCAAGTTCCAATGCCTGAGGATCACAGCAGAAACAGAGCACCAAACCTGGGGCGGATACAGTGCTCCAGCTCCAGGAGTTGCCAACCAGCAACAGGTGTATGCTGCCAGGCACAGTTACGAGTGAGCTACTTTAGGGACTTGAAAAACCAAGGAACAACCATGGCTCAGGTAGTCTTGAACGCCCTCCCACAGTGTCTGGATGGGAGACAGCTATGAGAAGTGGCCTTGGAGACAGAGAGGATCTGACAGGGACCTGCTGGCTGCTGGGAAGTTAGGCAACAGGAAGCTCAGACAGCAAAGGGGTAGGTGGCCCCACTCTCCCTTGCCAGACAAGTCCTACTGCCTGGAGAGATTGCTAAAAGAAATAGCACCAAGCCCTGGAGGTTAATATGATCAAAGCACATAACTATTATACAGCATGAAAAATATGTCCACACCGAGCCCACACCACACTGCTACACTTACAAACTGCATTAACATCTACACTCGTTACAATTTGCATATCCATAAAATCTCATCAAAAAGTTAACAAATCTTTAAATACCCATATCCTTAGACTAACAGACCAAATAATAAGCTTTACAACCTAATGTATCAAACATTATCGCACTTTTAAGTTCAAAACAAAAATTCTAGAACTGCAGCTAGACTATCATGGACGTGATCCTACACGCACGCTCTAAATGCTCAATCACCGACTGTCCTCAAAAAAGAGAGGGAAACTCTCTGGCTACAGAAGAAGAACACAGCATATGTAACCAACTACAACTTGCTGGCACTTTCTCGAGCATTTGAAAAACAGAACAGGTCAAGGAATCCAGGAATGCAACGCTCCAGGAGCACTGGAAAAATTCAATGGACCACTAGATCTTCCCTTCAGCTCCAGAAGAAAAATGAGAACCTGAACCAAAGACGCTTTACGATTTCTCCGGCAGAAATGAACAACTCCGCATTCCAGCGCCTCTGAAATATCCAGAAATGGCAAGCGATTAACAAACTGTCTTTAGCATACTCAAAAATCCTACTATGTCACATTTATTAACAAGCAGTTATAGGGAACTGATCACCTTATAATTAAAGGACAATATCACTACTTTAATGTAAGAAAACTGGGATCTCTAGAGAACTTAATCTTTGAGTGTTTTGCAATCTGTTTAATACTAATCTTCCACACAAAAGAAAATAAGCAATCAAAATTCCTTTGTTTACTTAATACATTCTTCACTATAACATTAATGACAGAATATCTAAGGCGAATTGCCCTTTATTCTTTTTATGCCTTTACACATTTTATTCACCCAAAACAAAAAAATCTTTCTTTCTTACAAAAACAAAAAAAACCACACAAGAAAAATCTATTCTGTAATCTCTCCTCACCTTTCTCTATCCCTTAACAACTTTTACTCCTAAAATTAACTAATAAAGAGAAGACTTCCTATGAAGCTATAAACTTAAACAGCCTAAAGACCAATGTCCTTAAATCTTCACCAGATTCACACTACTCACAAGCCATTTTATAACCCCCAAATGCATTAAAAAAACTACAATAACCTGAATCTCCTCAATTTAACATACAACTATGAAGAGCTGTTTCTATACCACATAAACGGCCTTCCCCCACAGATTAAAAATAGCTAATATCTGCAATATCTTTACACTAAGTCAACCCCAACGACATCGACCTACAACACCAGCCTCAGGTCCTTTATCAAAAACACACTACGCCAATGAGATTCTTCTCTACACCTTCACAATTCAACCCGGAATCTCTATCCATGCACACATGACCAATTTGCTCACCACTGCCATCTTGGCCTGAGTACCAGCGAACCATCCCTAGCTGACGGAAAAGTACCCTGATCAGAGC